TAAATTAACAATGCATATTGTATTTCCTAGAGCAAACATGAAAAGTAGCACAAAGCAAGGGAAAATAGTCATTTCAACAAATGGGGCTGAAAAATCTGTATCCACATGGAAAAACGAAATCTCAACTCTTACCCCATAAACCAGAAGCAGGTGAACTAAGGCCCAGGGGCCTAATCTGGCCCCTGCCTGTTTTGATAAGGTTTAGAAGCTAACAATGCTGTCTACATTTTTAAGTGGTTGAAAACACTAAAAAGAATAATATCTTGTGACCTACAAAAATTATACGAAATTCAGATTTTGGAATCCACACACACAGTTTTTGAAACACAGCCACGTGCATTTGTTTGCATAGTGTCTCTGGCTGCTTTGGCACTGCCAGTTCAGAGCTGAGTAGCTGGGACAGAAAACTGAGAATATGTACTATCTGACCCTTGACAGAAAACATTTGCTGACTCTTGCTGTAAGCAAAAATGAATATGAGATGGACCAACATTCTCATGGCCTATAATACTTCTGAACTATAAAGCTTTGAAAGAAAACAGTAAAATTCTTCATGAGCTTGGAATAAGCAAAGATTTATTTTAAGGAAACAAATGAGCTAATCTTTGAATAGTACATTTTTCCTCAACAATATTTTTAAAATTCTGTTCATTCGAAGATACTATCTATAGGTATCTGAGAAAGGGTGTGTATTCAAAATAGACACAATTCCTACAAATCAAAAATAAAAAGACAATCCAGTTTTAAAAAGAGCAAAATAATTGAACACGCTGTTCAAAAAACAAAAAGATATATGAGTGGACAACTGCATCTTCATGGACCTGATATGTTTATTTCCAGCTGCTTAGGAAATTTTTTGGCTGATACAACCCCACTGCCAGGCCTCCCTCAGGAATCACCTTTGATTAAAGAGACGACTTGGCCCAAGCGTCCACCTGCTTTCTAGGGCAGCTGCATCTAATGACTGGCTCGTATCCTCTTCCCTAGAACACTAATTGATGAGATTTAGAATTTTAATTTCCTTGGAAGAATGCATCATGCCTCCTTCACTACCACATGCAAAGGGTGAGCTTGACACAAGTAAACATGAAATCAGCAGGCGATGTGCTGTGTCCTGCAGGTCCAGACACCTCATTTAGACCGTACCCAGCTAGCTTGGGCAGTGTCAATAGAGCAACTGCACAACTGGCCGCTTGAGGGCGCTGTGGATCCGCGGAGAGAGGGCTGATGGCGCAGGGCGGGAGGAGGGTTAAGGGAGAGCCTTGGCTTGGATGTGATGAGGGAGACGCTCTGATGAACCAGAGTTAGTGCTGATCGTAGTCTTATCACATCAACTCATATGCAGGTGTGTCAGTCACAGCATGGAGCCGTGAATTCACCTGCATGGAGTTAAGGCCTCTCT